CAGGAAGACTTTTGCCCCAAAATATAGCAGGATGAGCGGGTGTGCGCTGGTTGTTGGTTTACTACGGTTACGATAGTAAACGAGTGTAAAGTGTGGAAGGCGGCGGTTAAATGTGGAGTGCCAAAGCCATGCAGTTTACTGACATTGTTGCAAAATTATATATATGCCCAGTAACAGGGAGACTTTTGCCCCAAAATATAGAAGGCTGAGTGGGTGTGCGGCCGGTTGTCGGTTTACAACGGTGACGAGTAGTTCGTGTGGGCAAACGCCCTGCTGAGCTGGCCGTCGGCCGTGGGGTCCAGCTGGGTCCACTGCGCGCGCTTAGGAGGGCCCCCGGAGACTGCAGGCGTGGCGCGGCGCGGCGCTAAGGCGGCCGGAAACGGCTTGACGGCCGTCCCATTAAATCGTCCCATCCAATTATGATTTAGCGTGTAAACATGACGGCGAGCCCAGAGGTGTGGGAGCGGGCGTGCGAAGCGCTTTCGAATCTCCTCGCGCCAAAACGGACCGCGGCGGGCGGGCGAGCGGGCGGGCGGCCCGGTGGAGCGAGTGGGAGGAGACGACGTGGATGTCGTGCGGGGGGCGCGGGCGCGAGCACGCGGGACCCCCCCGAGCGACGCGTCGCCCAGCGGGCAGAGCAGCGCCCCGCAGCGGCTCAAGCCGCGGGGGAAAACACCTATTTTTATGGAGGCTATTTTGATCGCTTCTTTAACCGCTGAAAAAGGCGTGGCGGGCGTGTGGGTGCGGGGAGGCGGAGGGGTGGAGGGTCCTGTCCAAATATTTACGCGTCGGTGTCGCCGCCGCGGCCCGCGGTTGGTTACCGCCGCGTGTTCGGGGAGATAACCCGCGCTCGCTGTAAATTTACAGGCCTCTTTATAGCGTAATTATCTATCGGAATGGGCGCCTTTACGGCCTGCGCCCTGCCTCGCGCTGCCACGGCTCCTCTCGGAGTGGGCGGGGCCGGCGGGGCGAGCCAGCCGCCGTACGGAGCCGTCGTGCGCGCTGCGCCGCGCCGCGCCGGGCTGCGGTGCTGTGTTTATGGGTTTAGCGGCCGAGATAGATGGATCTCTCGGATTGCCTGCTTGCAGACGTAGGTGTCTCCCCGCGTCGCGCCCATGCCGTGGCGAGGCGTGGCGTGCGCCGGCCGTTGCGGCGCGGGGTGGAGGCCCTCCGCAGCATCAGCAGCCTCCACGCACGTCGTGGCCCGAGGGAAACGCCCCCTCCGTCTGCCAGCCCGTCGGTCCGTCCGTCCGTCCGCCCGCTCGTCTGCACGCCTTATTATGCACTCCAGCAATTAATTAATTAATGACCCCCTCCCCCCCCCCTGTTTCCTCTTCACACTTCCAATTGTCATCCGTCCGCTTCTGCTAGACTCGCTTTTGCGTAATTGCGGCGCGCCACGCTTTTCAAAAAGAAAACAAAAAGAAGAAGAAAAACAAAATGAAAGGGAAGGACGTGGCGTGGTGGACTGGCCGTTGACGGACCCCCCCCCCCCCCCCCCCCCCCCCCCCCCCCCCCCCCCCCCTCTCTCTCCCTGCCCCGCCCCTACAGCCCCTGTCCGTTCCGTTCCACCCCGGCGACAGAGCGTTTGGGTCGACTAACAGCATGAGATGTCTCATCAGGGCCGATCATCCAGAAAGTACGCCCGCCATGCGCCGTTACGAAGATATGACAAGTTCAGCCTATGCAGGCTCTCATAGCGCCGAAGTGATAGGCAACATCTCGCCTGCAGTGCATGCGTGTACCGCGGGGTGGCCTACCTGGGATCTGGCAGGCGCCGAGCTCCCGTAATTTACCGAATGGATCTGAGAAAAACGCACGTACTTTCTGGGCGATGTCGTCACAGACACGACAGTGCAGGGTTCCCCGAGGGATGCCCTTGACGAGGAGTCGAAATACTGCGATTAACAATTATTTATTAATTTATCAATTGTTCAATTAATTGATTACCAAGCGCCGCAGATCCGGAAATACAAAAGGCCCCAGCCGGGCTCTAGACTCGGCAGCTCAGCTCGACAGGGCGGTGTCGGTGAATTATTAGACAGCCGTGGAGGGGGGGGGGGCGCCGCGCTCCCCGCTGCCGCCGCGCCGGAAGGAGGACGACGACGTCGACCACGTGGTGGCTCGGCGTCCTGCCCTTGCTGCTGTGGTGGTGAGGAGGCGCCCCCGCCCCCCTCCCTCCTCCCCGCGCCTCAGCTCTCCTTTCCCATCTCTCTTCTTTACCCCATCACACCTCCTCCTCCTCCTTCTCCTTCCGTCCCCCTCGCACACTCATTACCAGCCCATCTCGGCGCAGGGAGTGACGAGGACGGTCGGCGTAGGGCGGACTGCCCGCGTCCCGGACGCCCCCCGCTGCTGCCCCGCCCCGCCCCGCCACTCCCCTTTTACACCCGGGCTTTGCAGGCCGGCGGTGCGCGCCTTGAAACAAAACGACGACCCAAGCGTCGTCTCGTCCTGCCGCCCTGTCCGCGCGCTGTACTGCCGGAATGCAGGGAGGAGGAGGTGCAGACCCTGCAGACCGCCGCTGCCGGGGGGCGTGCGCAAAGCCCGAGGCCGCGTCCGGGCGAGTAGAACTTGTGTGTTTGACTGACTGTCTTCGCTCTCTGCCACCAGGCGTACGACGGCTCCCGGTCGCCCTCGCCGGCCATGTCCCCGGCGCTGTCGCCCAGCCCGGCGCCCCCGGGCCCCGGCAGGCTGCCGCGGCCGCGGCCAAGGGCCGACCCCATGACGCAGAGTGAGTACTTACCACTAGCCGGGCCGCGGTGTCACCCACCGGCCTCCCGTCGCTCCGCCCGCGCTCATGGACGCCGTCCTTCTCTCTGCTTGCAGGCTGCCCGACGCCGCCCCAGAACAGGCGGCGGTTCTTCCTGCGCTCGCCCTGGGGCCTGGGCCTCCGGCGCTCCGCCAACAGCAACAGCGACCCGCAGGACTGCGCCCAGGACCAGCAGGACGCCAGCGACTCGCACAACGCGCTCTCAGGTAGGCCTAGGCCCCCCAGTGAGTGCCAAACATGGAGGCCGATCCGGGAAAAGGCGCCGCGACCGGCGCGGGACAGAATCCCATATCATCACTTGGTGATCTGGTGTACGGTTAGAAATGATTGCTTTTGGTACATACAGCGGTGTGGATGACGACATCGGCCATGGCGGGGGACCTCGCCGGGGACGCGCGCCACTGGCGCAGCGTGGTGCTGGGCAAGATCAAGTCCCTGTGGTCGGTGGGCGGCGTGGGCGGCAGCAGCGGGGCGGGCATCAACCAGCTAGCAGGCACGGCGAGCACGGCGTGCTGGAGAGTGGATTTGTTTGCAGTGCCGTTTGCAGTCCAGTGTGTTGTAGACCCCCATCCCTCTAGTCACAAAACACCTTGTGAGCCTCTAGTAGCGGACCCGGCTGGAGTGTAAGTCGGGCCTCTTTGCATGCCGGCCCGACACAGCAGGCTCTACAAAACATTCTAACTCTGGCTTATTTGAGTAACTCTCACCCGTGCTTTGCCGAGTTCCATTAACTTTGACAGTCATTTTGCTGTCGGCGGAGAATGAGGATCTCTGTTCGCGAAGCGGTTCTCCCTCGGCTCGGCTTCGGCGCGAGTGCAGAGCGCAGTGGCGCGCTAGAGTGGACTTCCCTCCCCGCGCGTGCATGCATGCTGATGCTGGACTTGATTGTGGGAGTCGAGCGGGGCGTGCCCGGGCGGGCCGGCGAGCAGGCGAGCAGGCGAGCGTGCGGTGTGTGTGAAAAGAGCTAAAGGCCTCTCTGCCCGGCTCGTGACATGCATGGCTGGCCACGGAAACACCCGTGTTTTTCCTCACACAATGTGTTCCATTTAATTTATTAATGTCCGGTTATATCTCGGTCCCATTATCACTACGCCCCTCCCACCACCCATGTGTTGCTGTAGCCTGGATTTTCTTTTATGACTCCTAAATAATGCATACTTTAATTTACAGTTGTGTTCTTCTTTAGCACCAAAAAATTTATTCTGTTGTAGAGAGTTGATTTGAGTGTGTAGTTTTAGAACTTTGTATTTCTGCTGTGTGGTTTTCTGTAGTTTTGTTGTGTTTCAAAGACTTTGCGTTTTCTTAACGTCCTGTCTCTCTCTTCCTGCGCGCAGACGATGACACGGTGAAGCCGCTGACGAGCGCAGCGGCCGCGCGGTGCAAGTCCGGGCGGTTGTCGTCCAGGGCCTCGGAGAGGGCCTCAGAGAGGGGCTCGGTGCAGAGCGCGCAGAGCGACCTGTACATGCGTCTGGGCCTGCTGCTGGACACGCCCAACACCCCCGCCAGCACGGGGCTCACCACGGCGATGGTCCACTATCCGGCCTCGCCGGAGCTGGCGCAGCGCCCCACCAGCGGGGCCTCCAGCGGGGCCTCCAGCAAGCGCGGCTCCACGCACGGCTCCAGCAAGCGCTACGGCTCGCTCCAGGAGTCCTGCGCCTCCTTCTCTTCGCTGGGGAGCCTGGACGCCCAGCACCTCCAGTCCAGCAACACTAGCCCCGTGTCTACGCTCACGGGTAAGCCCACAGCCGCGTGGGATTTCCCTCGGTGGCCCAGACCCCCATCCCCCCTCTCTTGTTTTTTTTTTGTTTTTTTTTTACTTTTTAAACTATCCGTTTATTCATGATGAAATTTGCTTTCTCTCTTGCCAGGCTCCTCTGAGGCAGACACACACCTGAGGTCAATGAAGGAACCATCCTCAGACAGCATTACCTCGCTGATGTCCATGTCAGCACACAGTAATGCTTCTTCTAGTCCAGTCACTAGACGCCACTCTTTAACAAGTGAGTTATTACGGATTGCTTCTTCTATTTTATTAACATGTTTATTACTTCAAGCCAGCCATTCCTTACATAATTTTAATCTATCCTCTTTTGTCAGCTTCTCAGCCTGGTAATATTGAGGAGCTTGGTCTATTTCGAGAGAGAAGGAATTCAATCAGGAGATCAGCCCGCAGTGGCACCATCAAAGGCCCAATAGACCCTAAAAGTGAGTTGTATTCTCAGCTGTGCAGTAGTACTTTAGTACTTCTTTAACACTTGCTTAATCTTATTTAACTTTGCAGTCCGTTTTGCTGCATACCGTGCACCACCGCAACAACCAGTAATTCTGAAGCCTCTTTTCTTTGAAGTTCCCCTACAAGAAGTAGAGCCTTTGTTTGTTGGGAGGCAATGGCTTGTACGAGATCTAGCAGAGGTATTAGAATCTCAAGATCAGGGTATCATTATTGCAGGAAATCAAGGAACTGGAAAAACTGCTATGGTTCTCCAGTTAGTTGACTACAGCTGTTTTGGAAGAAGACATGAGCCTCTCTATCAAGGTAAGTTCTCATTTCATTCCTTTTAATGAGAGATTCATCTATCGAGAAAGCTTGATCATTTAAATTTGATTTGTCACAGACCACGAAAATATGCCGGATGATAGCACACAAGGCATTTATAGTCATCCTCATCTAGTCTGGGAACGCTCAGAACGTGTAGCTGAACGCTTAGCCTTGCGGCATCTTGCAGCTCATGTTGTAGCATACCACTTTTGTCAAGTAGACAACCAAAGTACCTGCCTGGTGCCAGATTTTATCCATTCAATAGCTGCTCAACTTTGTCAAGCCCCTCAGTTAATAGCTTATCGGGAACTTCTTCAGAGTGAACCCCACATCCAGGTAATTATTGTGCCCTGTTTCTGGATCTGAAATGATGCAACCTTTATTGTAAAACACTATTGAATTATTTACCTGCTACAGGACGCTATTTGTATGAGGGAATGCATAGCAAACCCTGACCTAGCTTTAAATCGAGGAGTCCTGGAACCTCTCAGCTCTCTACGGCGAGTTGGGAAGATCCCACCTGATACCTGTCTCATCCTGATTGATGCTATTTGTGAGGCTGAGTATCACAGGACTGACAATGGTCTCTCTCTAGGCTCATTTCTAGCAAAACATGTTCCTACCTTTCCACCCTGGTTGAAAGTAGTTGTAACTGTGAGAACACAGCTGCAAGAAGTAGTTACTGGTCTTTCTTTCCACACTATTAGGTAAGCAAAATGTTTTGTCTATCAACCTGCCTTTGTACTTGTCTGTATTTTAATTCAATTCTTGCTTGTTTCTCAGCCTTGATAAATTAAATACCAATGATAATCTTCAAAAAGATTTGCAAGACTACATCATTTATCGAGTAAGCAACTCACCTGGCATCCAAAACAACATTGGTGGGAGTTCTGGTTCTACATCAGGCAGTGGTACACCATCTGGAAAAACAGAACAAAGCAGATTTTCACAGCATCTTGCTAGTCTTGCCAGAGGATCATTTTTATTTGCAAAACTAACATTAGACCTTATTGAGAGGGGTCACATAGTAGTCAAATCTTCCTCTTATAAAGTAAGTATTGCACACAAATAAATCTAACGTGTAATTATCTTTTTTAAATCTTAATTTTATTTTACTTTTCTCTTTTTCCTAATTAGGTATTGCCTGTATCACTATCTGAAATATTTTTATTGCACTTCAACCTGAGGTTTCCAACTTTGCGTTCTTTTGAGAAAGTCCAACCCATATTGAGTGTGTGCTTAGCAGCACTGTATCCCTTGACGCTCCTCGAACTATTTTACTCTGTAAATTCCCTTCTCACAGATTCTTATCTGTCGTGGGAAGAATTTGTTCAGAGGTTCAATATGCTTGCAGCATCAGGCCTTTTAGTCAAACGCAGAGACAACACCTATATGTTTTTCCATCCATCATTCAGAGAATGGCTCATCCGAAGGTTTGCTATTACACACTTAGTCTTGTTTCGTATCTCATTGTTACATTGCCATGTATCTAACTTTCATAAAATTTCTAGGGATGAAAAAGACAGCAGTAAATTCATGTGTGATCTTCGATCTGGCCATGCTGCAATTGCATTCCGTCTCTCTAGAGTTCAGGCTCCTCTTGATGATGAACACTCTTTAGAACTCGGTCATCATATTCTGAAAGCGCACCTGTATAAGAATATGACTTTGCACCGATACTCTTCAAGAGAGTTGCAGGCACATTGGGTTGCTTCAAGCTCGGCTGATGTGTCATCAGCATTGTGCTCCTTACGGAATATTTATAATCCAAATGTGAAAGTATCCAGGCTTCTTCTTTTGGCTGGTGCAGACCCCAACTCAATCACTGACTTCCTAGGGAAAGCTCCTGCCTTATGTATGTTTGCCCATGAAGGGAATGCCGAAATGGTTTCAATACTGCTGGAGTTTGGGGCTGATGTGGAGTTGACTAATAGTCAGGGATGCACTGCACTATCTCTAGCTGCCACGCGGGGCCATGCTGAGGTAAAGTTCTTAAATTCAAAGATTTATTACATTTTCTCCTTTTTTCAGGTGGTGTATTTTAAAATATTGATTCTCTATCTTCCTCTCTTTTTTAAAAAAAATCTAATTGCAGGTTGTGAGACAGCTTGTTTCTGCTGGAGCTAGCTTAGGTCATGCAGATATGGCTGGACAGTGCCCTTTGGTTCATGCCGCACGGAGTGGATGCCTTCAGGTTGCGGGTTATCTGTTGAGCTGTGATTGGGTTGTCAACAACTGCAATGAAGTTAGCTTGGGAGAGGCTGTTCAACAAGCACTTATTGCTGCTGCAGCTCAGGGACACAATGAAGTGAGTTTCTCCCCCCTCTACACATGATAATGCTTGTTCATGAATATTCTAATGATATGAATTTCTTTGAAAAAAATTGATTCTAATCTAATACTTTTTCAGCTGGTGGAGTATTTGTTAGATATGCCTGAAGTTCTGATTGATGCCACAGACTCTCTTACCGGAGAAACTGCACTTACTGTGTCCTCTATGAATGGATGTCACAATGTGATATCAACACTCCTGCAGAGAGGAGCCTCAATAGCAACAGCAAACAGAAAGGTATTTCAAAATTAAATCAATACTTTACTCCAGCTCAAAAATTTTTTTTTATCAACTTTAAAATTTATGAAATTTACAGGATCTGTCAGCACTTCTTCTAGCAGTAAAGGAAGGTCACTGGGCAGCAGCAGAATGGCTATTGCAACATCAAGCCCCACTTGAGCAGACTGATGGGAGTGGACGCACCGCTCTCATGCTTGCTGCAGCTGAAGGACATGTTGGATTGATAGAGCTCTTACTTGACAAAGGTGAGTTGAACATTAAATTTATACTTTAGACTGGCACTGCAAAGGCGTCCATGTAGCCCCATTGCCCATGCTTCCTCCCATAAATGAGGGATCATGTGATTTCTTCAATTAAACTTTTCCTTTGTGACTAGGAGCTTGCAATACATCTCAAGATAAAGATGGTCTAACTGCTCTCAGCTGGGCTTGTGCCAGAGGACGATTGCAAGCTGCACAGTGTCTTATAGAGAGGGGTGCATTGGTGAATCATGCCGACATAACAGGTCGAACACCATTAGACCTGGCAGCCTTCCAGGGAAATCCTGCCCTAGTTACTCTGCTCTTGGAGAAAGGAGCGTTAATAGAACATGTTGATATTCACGGGATGCGCCCTCTAGACAGAGCCATTGGTTGCCGTAATGTGCAAGTGGTACAGTGTTTCCTCCGTAAGGGAGCAAAGCTGGGTCCAGCAACTTGGGCCATGGCCGCAGGCAAACCTGAAATTTTGTAAGTTTATAAACAATCGGAAAAACTTTTGCTGCATTAAAAAAAAAAAAGAATTACAAATTAAAGTATTCTACCTCATAAACTCCTCACAGGTTGGCCCTTCTTAATAAATTATTAGAGGATGGCAATGTGCTGTATCGTAAGCTCAGGCTGACCGAGGCATCTCACCGATACTCATATGCTTTGAAGAAGTTTCCAACAGAGGCAGAACTTGGTGACTCTGGTGATAGTATAGCAACGTTCCAACAGTTGCGTATCAACTTCCTTTTAAATCTATCTCGCTGCAAGCGGAAAATTAATGTAAGTATAGATTAACCTTGTTAATGATTTGATGATTAACCCTCTTATTTGACCACAACTACATTACTATCCCCTACTAACATTTTTTTCCTTGCTAATTCTCTGGTTTTAGGAACCACAAGAAGCCAAAGAATTGGCATGCCAGGTTATTAAACTCAAACAAGGTTGCTATGAAGCGCTCTATGCACGATCCAAGGCAAACGTGGATTTAAAGTAAGTACAAATATAATTAATTTATAACAATTACCTAGGCTGTTATCTTTAATGCAATTTTCTAAATTTTGGTTGATGTTATGCAGGTTATTAGATGAGGCTTTAGAAGATGTGCAGGAAGCACTCCATGTCGCACCACACACAAACAAAGATGTTCGTAGAGTACTCCTTCGTCTAAGAGATGACATACGTCAAGCCATATCACCATCAGAAAAAGCTTGTGGGTCCAAGCTGGGAGCTTCAGTTGATACATTAGCTGACACAGAAACTCGTCTATAAAAAGTCTTCAAGGTTTTGTCATATGTCCTTTTCCAAGAAAGTTGGGATGGATTAACTAAAACAGGGCTAAGAAACTTAATGATTGATGTGATACATGATAGGTAATCTACGATATGTTTGCTGTGGGATTTAAATTGTTATAAGTTACCTTTTTATGATTTCCCCACCCTTCAACACTTTTTATTCTGGTTTGCATTTTGTAATTTATAATTTAGACCTTTATGGAAACCATTGAAACCAACGTGTGTTATGCTGATGGTGCAGGCAAACAAGCTACCCCAATGAAAGGTAAACCTGTTTTGTATGTATTTGTTTTTCTCTATGCAGAGTAAGAATATTTGATCTGCAATAATTGTGCTAATGTACTGAAATACTATTAGATAAAGACAAACTTCCTGTTTTATTTAGAGTCCTTTGAATAGTATTATCTATGATGAAATATGTATTTACTTAATGTTATTGTTATGTTTGTGAGTAGTCTTGAAACCAAGAAAAATTAATACTCTATAAATTAAATTGTTTTATTGTATCCATTTCTATCTATATTTCTATGTTTTATGAAGAAAGATAATAATGATAGTTCTTACTATACATATTTATTGTTTGCATAGTATGCTGAAATTTGGCTCAAAGAGCGCAATAAAAAAATTTACCTAAAAAGGTAATTTGTTTATGCCACCAACTGTTGTAAAACGGTTTCAGGTTCCAAATAGTTGTTTTTCAAAGCTTCTTATTCAAATTTATGTTTATTCCAAAGAAATTGTGTTTTTAGAATACTGATAATTCATTGTTATTTCCTATTGTTCTCAGATGACACTGCTTGCCAATAAATTATTATGATTCAAAGTTGTTGAGTGGGTCATTACAGGGCCTACATATCGTGTCCGACCTGTTTCATTCCGACCACGGTAAAATGGTGGTACCCCGAAT